CCAACCTGGAAGGCTGGGCGACCTACTTGTCATGGTTAGGCGCCCAAAGGGCGCACTGAAAATTTTCCTAGAGCACAGCCTTGATATCTAACACTAGCCACTGACACTAAGTTAAATATTTGTTTTAGTATATAGCACCCAAAGATGATTTTGGCTTATTTGTTCTTGCAACAATTACCTTATTTCTGGGTGCAAATCCAGTGCGAGTTACTTGGAGGTGAATAGCAAAGGTTGTTCAGCGTTTGAGTAGCCATTCAGAGCCCATCTTCAATGCTACCCCATTGGTTTTAGTAAACAAGGAGATGAATCATGGAATCATGAATCTTTACTGTCTGCCATACATTTCTTATGATGTTAGTTTGGAGAATTTGTTGATTACTGAATCAACTACATGTATTAATCTTTTAATTTACATTTTTCTTCATTCTCATCACTTGTCTTCTTGATATTGGATTGGTATCATAAGGAGAAATTCTGTCTTGGTCATTTATGGGAGTTAAGGGGTTAAGATTCACCTTGTTTCATTAATGGAGCCTCAGAAATTAATCCCCACTTTCAATTTTAAATGGTCTCCAAAAAATTTTCTGTTTTGGTGTAATTTTTTTTTTACAAAGTTTTAATTTTCCATTGAGTTATGATTTTTAGAGTTCCTACTTTTGTGAGCTATTTTGATGTTTTTATTTGATTAAGGTTGTCCTTGAGCAAAGAAATTTTACTTAGCTTTTTTGGCAAGAATTTGTTATTAAATCTGCCGCTTTATTCCATGTAGGCACATACTTTTGATTATTATATGACCCATATAACCCACACATGCTTTTATTGTAGGAAACCAGAGACAAAAATCCAGTTATGATAACACAATAATGTGAGCAGGGCCTTGTAAAGCCCTATGGCCTTGAAAAGCCCTAAGGCCTTGTGAGCTACAAGCTGAAAGAAGAAAGGAAGAAATAGGAACAATGAGAGTCATATTATAAAATGTGTATTGACTGAGTTAGGTCAGTCTGGACTTGAAAATATTTGGCTCTGGGTCATGATGCATGAAACTTGCTGTGCCCATTCCATACATTATGACCTCAAACCAAAATGTTTTCCCATCTAGCCCTCCCACTCAGGTAACCCTTAATTTCCCATGATTGATGAAGACAACATTTCTCCTGACAATATCTCCGACAAGTGATGTAAGTAAAGAAAAAAATTTGTTCTTAGTTAATCCAATACCAAGTTCCCCATAGTAACCTCATAAGAATTGTATACCATGTAGTAAGGAGAATTAGTAATGAGGTCTTGGAAGTAAAATAGTTAATAGCTACCTATAGTCTAGAAATACTTTGGGTATGAAGGGGTCAAGTACTGAAATAATGTAACTTAGAGCTGTTTTTCTTTTAGGAAAGAGAAGAGGAAGAGCAAGAACGGAAAGAAAGGGAATATGTTGAAAGAATGGCAGCTGAGAGATTAGCATCTTTAGAAGGAGGCAACAGCTTAGATCTTCAAAAAGCTGCTGAATTACTAAATGGAAATGTTGTCAAACAAAGTGTAGAGAACATGCCAAACAAATTTTGAACTTTTATAACTGTTTCTGAACTACAATTTGCAATTATTTGGAGAGCACTGAATGTTTGTAGTCACATAACCAGTGCAACTGTCCACTACCCTGCAATGTCAAAAACTGTTAACATCTTTTTTTTTTTTTTTTAATCTCATCAGCATGCTGTACTTGTAGCTAAAGTATATGGTGTAGTATAGAATTTTCAATGTAGCTTTGATTATTGAATGAATTAGGCTTCATGATTAAGTACACTCTTTTGTTTTCAATGTTGTAAACATGTTTGTAAAGGGAGACACCTTTCAATTTAACTTAGGGTATGTCTGAGGATACAAACAAAACCACATTAAGTTGAAAAATGGATATATCTTCAATGAGCTTGTAAAGATGCTGTTTATTCCAGTTTATATCAAGGGGGAAGTGCTGAATTAGGCATACATTTGAGTGTAAACTTTGTACATGTGTTCCTGCATGAACCCACATTGATAGGGTTCTTAAATATCTAGATAATATTTTTTATGCATCAGAAAATTTTCAGAGCTCAATTTTTCTACAGTAACTAGTTTACTGATACGAAACTGTTATTCATCAGTAGTTGTAGTTCCAAACAAGGTATCATGACCCTAATAGTATGAAGTTGTAAGACAAAGTTTTCCTAGTGATGTTAGCTCAATTTGTAACTATTAATATTGAAAATAACTGAAATACAGCGTAGAACTCTTATTTAGGGAATTCCTCTCTGTACAGGGTTCGTACAGGTCCCATAAAACCTGGAAAGTCATGGAATTTTTATAATTTCATTTTCCAGGCCTGAAAAGTTGTGGTTTGGCTCCTGGAAAATTATGGAAAATTGGCTGGTTTGCTATGAGTGCAAAGCAACATAGACCCAAATTTTAAACAAAAAATTCAAGAAACAAGATTTAATTTCAGTATGAATAAATATTGGCAGAAGATCTACCCTTGTGGGTATTCTTGTTTGACATCTATGCAAATTTGTGAGCCATTTGGAATGAACTTATCGGTACACTTACTTAACTTAGATTATTGAAGTTTTTGGGAAGTCATGGAAAGTCATGGAGTTGTAACAGCTCAAAACTGTACAGACCCTGTATATAGCAAAGGAGGACCCCCATGCAAAGGACAAGATTATGCATCTTGATGGAAATATAAATGTATAAAGGGAATTTTTTTTAATTGAACACTTTAGTCATGCTGGGGAAGCTCTCTAATGGCAATTTTAACCTCAATATCTGATCGGCAACCAAATTTTCCAGCAAGGAGCGACTGGTAGTTTTAGTATGTTTACTATGTTATTATTGTAACATACAGGCTGGATTTCATCGTGGCACAATCAATAAGGGAAAAAGTGATGATCATTGTAATGGAAAGGTGTGGGGAATGTGAGAGATATACGAATTTTATTTTTGTTGCTTTATTCAGCAAGTCTTATTTCATCCATGTGTGGGAAGTAAATATCCCTCAAAGCTTATTTAACTTTCCTCTTTGTTACCAGAATTGGTGTTAAACTAGTGATGTGGACTAGTTGTCTTTGTTTGTAGACTGTGTTAATGATTGCAGTGTTATGAGTTCAGGATTTTCTCTACTCTGTGCTTAGATCCCATTACATTGGTTTGTGTCCTTTTAAACTGATTTTATTTTCCAACTTTTCATTTGCCACTGTTGGGAGGAAAGGTGATAAACATGGTAAATGGATTGAACGAAATCAACTGAACTTTATGAGTAGAGAAGTGTTGTGTCAATGAGTTAGTCACACAGTGAGCATTGTTACCAGTTAAATTGAGATATTGAGGAATTAGATCAAAACATTGCAATTTAAAAATTTTGCAGTTATCAAGCAGTGTGGCCATCCAGATGTGAGCTTTACAGTTTTGTGAGAACTTGATAGACATGAAGGCAGAGGGATTATTAAAACAAGGATGGGACCTTTGAATGCAATCTTATTATCAGTGGCTCTTCTGCCTTCCCAACCTGGAGTAAGAGAGAGTGTCTACCATCACAAACCATTCATATATGTAGGCAGTTCAATCAATTTATCACAAATTTATTTTTTACCAACTATTTATTTGTTTAAAGTTATACAATAAAAAGCGGTGGTTTAGAACAGATGGAGCGTGTAGTAAATAATATAGCAGAACGGGATGAGGATAGTTATGGCTTCATTGTTCCCAATAGGTCTTTCACTCGACTCTTCTGAGTGCTTAATACATTTTTTAATTTTTTCACATATCAGAACTGCTTTGGAGTCAGGACTTTCTTACTTCCTTTTGAAATACAAGTCAGAAACAAAAAAAGAAAAAAAAAAGACTCCAGCAACAATCAATTAAAAAACATTACTACCTATTATTTGAATAGTCTCAATCCATGGTCTTGTATCCCGGCTGGGACTTTCAGGGCGCAATAATTTCACCAACCCTACCCTAGTGAGATGGAATTTACTTTGGGTCGGGAACCAATCAGGTGTTCACGGTTGCCTTGACGTCAACATCAACTAATTTTGCAAAGAAATTAATACAGAATTGTTCCTATCGAGATGACTTGGAAATCTCAGTAAATAGGCCAGACATTTCGTCATGAAATGATTTAATGCACGGAAATCCTTTACGTTGTGGTTTTCTATCTTGGATCGAATCCGATGCGAAAACACAAAGGCGCCATCAACAAGGTTTACTTCCCCATTTCTTCAGGGAGTTTCATGTAACATCGAAGATTTCATAGCCCAAAGACAGTAATGACAGATCTTGAATGCACCGGAGAATCTACTAAAATCTTAGCTTACAAGTGTTTAACATTTGGAATGCTACAAGACAAACTGACTGAGATCCTTATGTGATAAATACTGGATAAGGACACGCTTTGTTATTGATCAAACGTCTTCGGTCAATGCGGTAACATTTCGTACGACTATTGAATGTGATGGGCTCTATGGAAGGTGCTGGGGCGCCTTTGCTGAACGACTACAAACTTGAATTCTTCTGGAAGCGTTTCCCGCAAACGCTGCTCGGTGGATTGAAGCTAAAACTCGGATACGATGCACCATTCTACGTTTACTTGAATCAAGTATTGGTGTTCTTGGTACCTTTCATTTTTGGAGGGATTTTTACACTTCTTGCTGAGTTCGAAATCATAACTGATGTGTACATGAATGCTTATATTTATGGAGGCCTTGTGGTCGTATTTGTAATAAGTACACAGCTTTTCAGCTGGTTAATGCGTCGAAATGCGACGAGTCTCGCTAAATTTCAAAAGAACCTCTTGTCTCAAGACGACGAGATTGACTTCGTTTCATGTTGCGGTGTCGAAACGGTGGAGTTTACTTTTCCCGCAAAGAGATTTGTTGTAAACATGATTGCCCATGCGGTGATATCTGGGGTCGTATGTAGTTTAATGTTTTTGTATCTTTTACCGGCGAACCTGGCTGGGTTGTTTTCAAACACGTGTGCTACAGTGGTTCTTTACACTCTTGGATGGTTAACCGTGTGTATTTCTCAGTTCTCTTTGAGTTCTTCATGCCCGCCCGAGTTGGCTATTTTTAGAGCTCTGGACACATTGGAAATCGCTCCACTGATGAGACCATTTTATGTGGTGATATTTGGAATCATTGGAGTTTTGGCAAGGTATTGAATGTCACTTGATCTATTAATTTGCTTGATGTAGCATTGTATTTAAGGTAACTGAGACATTAGCTACATATATACGTATGCTCTCATTCGTCGAGAGGTGTGTTTGGATGAGGGTAATGTTAACCAGTTTTGAACTTGCGGGAATTGCAACAATTTTTTTGAGAAATATTTTAATATAAGTAACAACATTATTACGAGTACAATTTGGAATTAATAAGTGTGGGTGAATTTCAAAGACAAGAAAATTGTACATGCCCCTAGGGTGAGAGCAATTTGTAGTCTTTGAAAAATTTACTAGTTTTTAGTGACACTATATTGCATGAGAAATCATGTTGTGGTATGTGGTAATAATTAACATGAAAAACACATCACCATAAGTCAAGACAGTTGAAACTTTTGCACTGCACGCACTATTTGTTATTTGCACTTGTGTTCCAACTTGGCAATTTGGTCATCATGTACACACACCCAGGCACATAGCCTGTCTAAAGATTTGGAAGGCTGGCAGAATTCTCAACAAATTTTGCTAGCCTGAGATGCAGCCAAGAGGTTTTGTACAGTTGTTACTATCTCAGAGAGTTCTGAAAGTATAAGTAATCCATTCAATATGACAGAAATGAATGTTTGATGGTTTTTTTTTTGCTGTCATACTTTTTTTATAGTCAGAGAGTGCTGCAGCTTGTGTATCAAGAACTTGAAATGTGGGAAGATACAGTACATTGTAGGAAAACACTAATAAATCAGTTGGTTGAATTGGGATGTGACAAAATTGAATTCAAATTAATTGTGTGAAGTGACACTTAAAACATCATGCAGCACTGTAATAAAGTTAACTTATTAAAAATACACTATTAAATAGGAATTTCCGTATCTCATAATGCTTAACCCTCACATCCTAACATCATAATGCATGTTTTCAATACCATTCCCAATACATTTTCTACAGTGTTTACAAGGAGAAGTTGTTTAACAAGGAAGAACTACTTAAGTTTGCAATCATTTCCTTTATTCTCATGACCTTAACGTGCAATTAAAGGGTGACATTGTAAGGAGAAATAAGATGCTGGTCACTCTTAGAGGTAAAAGGGTTAAAGAACTAGGACCACTATGAGAAGAGGCAAATCTCTTTTCAAGTCACGACCTTTTCCCTTGTTAGCAACAAATTTCATAATCATAAATATTTGAGAATTGTTACATTGTAAAATGTTGTTTCATTTATTTTTATTATTTTTTTCATATTTTCAGACATTACTCCGAGTTAGTGGCAACAGACAAGGTACTACATATCTTGTTTCCTTTTCTGCCCTTGCTATGGATTCTGGGTATCTTGCCTCCTCTGGATGCACTGTTTCCATGGTTGGCAGAGCAGGCACTGGTGCTTGTTCTTGGTGGCTCCCCATTAGCAACTGATTTGAGGTTGGTTATAGAGTGAGATTCATGTTTGATAGGTGTGGACACACTGTAGGTTTTCTCAAAAAGTCTGATTAAATTTTGAATAAGAGACCTGGGATCTGTATTTCAAAACTTCCTGTAACCTAATGGACTTAAAGCTATATTTTATAATCAAGATTTAAGGAATGGCACCCTTACTACTCCAATTTGTTTCTTCATCTGACAGTTTTATTATATAAATTTCAAAACTTTTGAAATCCCCATCTTGGTTGAAAACAGAAGCTTCGAGGACCAGTTAAGTTAGCTGGACTGGGAGAAACAGGTCCTACACTGTAGGACCTGTAGCAAGTTTCTTATGTCAAGCTTGTCCTCACATTCTCCTAGATAATTAAGTGTAAAACTCCTTTTCTAATAAGTTTTTCATTTCCTTTACAAGATCCAATCCTGGTGCAATGCTCTTCAAGTTGCAAGTGCCTTTTGTTTCTCTTTCAGATTACTGGTGATGTTTATCATCTCAAGTCTTGTGGTTGTCATGGCAACTTTTATTTCAAATTCTACTGCCATTCTTATCGTGTCAGCTTGTTTTGGCTTCATCCTCAGTATGGACATCTTTGGCCTTGTTCTTCAAGCATGGGTCAAAATAAATCAAGGAAAAACCTTGAAGCCAATAGTGGCAGAATGGAAAATGAGAGAAGTATTGATTTTTGTAGTAATGTTAGCAATAACAGGGGCTTTGGCAGCAGTTTCCAGCCATTTCTCATCAGATGCAAGCCTGAAGATATTTGATGCCTTTGGTGTTTTGTTCATGGTGCTCTTGGTTCTTGTTAAAGTTCTGGGAGATATACAATCTGTGAGCATTTTTTTTGGTTTGCTCAGAAATCCATTTTATCCAGCAAGTATTGAGTCATCTAGAGAGTTTAAGAAAAGAAAAAAGATTCTGAAATACATTGGTCTTCTTCGCCAAGCACTGCTTTGCTATGGTGAGTAGGTTCTTTTTCTCTTTGTTTTGAGCTACATGTAGTTAGGACATGTCTGAAATATGCTTTGTTGGCTGAGGCATAGTGTTGGTTTCTTTGGCGGGACAATTATCTTGCCAGTATGAATGGATGACTTGACAACTGGCAAAATTCTGCTAAGAAAGAGAAAGGGTAGTGGACCACATTTACATGTATGCTACATTTGTTTAGACCATATCAGTATCATACTTCTGGAAATGGGATACAGTGTAAGCTGTGGTATTGTGAGTGGTTGCTGTTTCTGGTTAGACTTGAGTCATTACACAGCCAGGTACATTTAAGTCCTTGAATAATATTTGTGCAGTGTTAACAAAATTGTAGTGCAAGTTGAGAGTTAAGTAGCAAGAAAATGAAGCAACTCTGACGACTCACGATTGGGAATTCAGATTTATGAGATTGGATCTGCTTTTATGTCTAGTCTTTTATAAACTAAGGCTTTAGTCATGGGTGAGTACTACAATGAATGAGAATATTGCCAACCTTATTGACTTGTAACTAGTAATTGCATGAATCATATGTTACACTGTAATTATTAATAAGCAAATTCTTATACCAATTTTTTGGCATGTTTGTTTCAGTTGTACCTTTGCTTCAAGTTGCCTTTCTCAGCTTGTTCCTTGCTCCAGAGAGGGCAACTGTTTCAAACTTTGCTGCGGCCATTGGAACTGTCAGGGCTCTTCGACAGGTAATAAAGCTGACTGTTCCTTTAAATTTGAATGCCTGTCTCGTATTTTCTACGGCGTTGGCACTCTTATTCTTGCACAGAAATAAATCCAGGCATATACGTGCTAATGACCGTCATATTGATCTCACTTCATGAATCTTGTTTAGAAGTTGTCAAATGCTTAATTAAAGTTACTTATACTTTTTCACTCATGAAAAATTATTTTTATACAGGTCTGGCAAAACACGTTTAATTCTCTGCTGGAAATATCCGTCGTTTATCTGACTGCGACGGCTCTGGGGTCAGATGTGGCTACCTGGTGGGGTACTGCAGGTCTTGGACTACAGCTGATGCTGGTGGGAGCCTGCAGGGACAGACTACAGCAGCTACTAAATAAGATATCCTACATGCTGACCCTCACTGTCACAGCGTGGACACTTCCCAAACAGCACCACAAGGCAACAGTACCTATCCTTCTTGCACTCGTCATATTACTGCCTGTGGTAATAGCTGTACTGGGGGCTGCAACAATTTTAGCCACTCCATTGCTACCACTCTTCTGTCTTCCTGTATTCTTGGTGGGCTTTCCGCGGCCATTGCGGTCCTGGCCCAAGACTGCCAGCACGGCTGCAGCAACCTGCCCTGACTCCGTGTTTTACAAACAACTGACACCTCAGGTAGTGTCAACTCTTGGTGTTACCATGGCTATGGGCACTCTGGGTAATCCATCACCAGGGGACCATTACTTGGTGCGTTTTCAGGACCGTTTGATTTGGGTCCACGTGCTTGAGTGTGGTTACAAATTTTGCACTACGGTATTGAAAGGCCTTGAGCTGCAGGAGACCTCGTGCCACACTGTGGAAGCCACGCGTGTAGATGACGTGTTTCAGGATATTTTTGTGCATGAGGGAAAATGGCCACTGGTTTCATTGAACCAACACGTAGCAAACGTTCTTTGCCCGTGTGACACATTGATCCTCAATACTTACTCAGACGCGAAGAATGTACTGACTGGTGTAATTGATCAGCCAGAAAATTTACGGAGGAATTCAGAAAATTTCTTGAAGACTCTTGTCTGGGTTTTGGTGAATTATTGTAAAGATCGAAAGTTTGAAATCCCGGAACAAACCTCACATCAAGTATTCATTGACATTGCAAAGCAAGAGGTCATGATGTCAGTAGAGGTTTTACCTGCTCCAAAACCCAAGGAAGCTTTACTAGTCAGACAAACAAGTCAGGATGATTTGGACATTCCAAACGTTTTCATGAGTTCAACAGATTATCAAGAACCAACAACGAGAGTTACATCACCCAAGAGACGACGAAGCAGCTCTTTGCCCAGTCTTAGCGATAGTGTATGGTCTCAGGAAAGCTTGAAACTGGATGAAAGTCAGACGAGCGATAAAAAACGCAAGCAGTCAGGGAGCGTTGGTGGTCTTCACGTCAAAGACGAAGGGATTGATGATCTCGACGAATCTTTCAATCTAGGTGGTTTTCCAGCACTGGATATTGGACAGGCAAGCGCATCGAAAAATAAAGGCTCAAGCGAAAAGCTCCTTAAAAAAGAGGATCCAGTTTTTAGTGATTTCAATTATGACGTTCTTAGCTATGGAGCTACCAAGAGGGATGCTAAAGCAGGCGCAAGCGATTATATGAAGCCAGTTACTTTTACATCAGAGCATGCCCATAGACTTGATTTGCCACATCATTGGAAGTTTTCCATCCCAGTAGACAAACATAATTTAGACTCTTTATCAGAAAAATTTCCCGATTTCTGGTTCAGACACGTTGTGAAGGGTTTAAACTTTGGAAACAACAGCAAGGGCATTGCAGAAAGTATCCTTGGCGATTCAACTCTGATAAGCTTATACCGTCAGTTGACATGCGCGTGTTACGCTATGGTGGAGGTACTTGGATTCCCAGGATCGTCTGCTGTAGCTGCTGGACCTGGTCACGTGCACAAAGTGTACGCTGGCGACGTGCCTTGGTCAATACATGTTGATTGGCTGGAAAAAGAGACGGAGCTTAAATCGCTGATCTTGAAGGCGTACAGGTATGAAAGATGAAGCTGAATATTATTGATGTGTTGCATTCCGTCTGAAATCCTCTCTCCTTTTTGTACAAGATGTGTTATCTCGGAAGCAGAGAAGGGGTGTACAGTGCACTACAAACGTGCGTGACAGATTTTGGTAATTGCTCTCCAGTATACTTGAGATCACAGCTGATTATAATATACCCAAGGTTTTTCCAGCATATTCTGTCCATAATTGGTTTCTTTTTGTTCAGCGATCAAAACGTTATCAATGTCGGTTTTCTGTCTTTATCATATATCAACCAATAGATCTTCTCATGTATTAATCAACAACAAAATCAATAAGGAAAATTATAATGCTATGCTCTTCGACACCAAACGTTAGTAAAGTTCCTACCTTGGAGATTCTAACATTGCCAACTACCGAAGCTACCGATCTACTCCAGTTGATCTTCTCGTGTATTAATCAACAACAAAGTCAATAAGGAAAATTGTAACGCCATGCTTTCCTTAGAGATTCTAACATTGCCAACTACCGAAGCTACTTTTGAGAAAATTAACGAATAAGACCTACTGGAACTCAAATCTCGTTTCTGCGTTGCTCAGCATTTCCCTATTTACCGCTAGGAGAAACTTCCAAGAAATTAGTATTTCAAAGGTCCATGATCATTGATCCCACTTTGACTTTACTTCATTGCAGATATGCTTTCAAGTTAACTTACGACGAAGCTGTTCTTGGAGAAGTGACAAGTGAAGATGAACTTGTGGAATACATGACAGAGTATGATAGGGACTGGTACCTAGGCAGTGAGATAGGCCACGAGTGGCAGTTGTCTATCATGGATGAAAAGCCGTTCCTGTTCTCGCTGGGTCGAGACAAAAGCAAGGTAATAAATTGGAAATACTTAGCTATGTGAACACTCTTCTTGCATGTATTATTACATTCCAGTACATTCGCTACAGTTCAACTAATAAGCTCTTCCTTTATTGTATTTCTTCAGGGCACATACACTAGCCGTGTTCTCACCAAGCAAGAGATAATGGCCCCAGTCGGGCGCCTTAATGGAGAATGCGTGCGAGGCCAGTGGGCCTCGCTAGCTTTAGAACTACTGTACTTCACCAACGATGACGAGGAGCGGTACAGCATCCAGGCTCATCCCACACTCCTCAGGAATCTGACCATCCAAGCTGCGGACCCACCTCTGGGGTATCCAGTGTATTCTTCGGGTGCTGTGTCAGTACCAATTGCGGTAGCCCCTTTATAAAGGCCTTTTAGTAACAACGTTTGATCATGTGCGCCGTTCGTTATGCATTTGTGAAATATACGCAGTATTATGTGTGAGCATTTTAATGGTAGTTAGATTGGTGTAATCGCAAAACTGATTAACTTTCGAAAATCTGGCGAACGTTCTCCGAATAGATTTCGCGGAAAACTTGAAAACGGAAATATTAAACAAAACAACCAATTTGTGAAAGTAAATTTTCCTATTTGAGAGAGGGAAGGAATTGGGCAGGTCCGAGTCACTCTGAGGGGTGGACATAAGTTGTAAAGAACTGTCATGAAATGACGCGACATTTAATCTTTCCTGAAAAGATATAATATACAGTGGAACCCTTATTAGGGCACATGTCCGTGCTCTAGTTAGGAGTTTCCTGAACAGTAATGGAAGGAAACATTCCATTGTGCACCTTGATAATCGCATATCATAGCTTACGGTTGAAAGAACGACGTTTGTAAATATTTTTTTAAATCTACTTTTTGACATCTCTTCGCTGTATCAGAGAAGAGCGTACTCTTCTTACAATTCCTAAAAAACTCAACATTGATCTTATGAAATATGAGATTATTTTCACAGCAATGTACTGACAAGAAAATTCAGTTTTAAACGTTTCGGTCACGCAAACGAGGCGCTAAACATTTTTAATGCTACACGAATATTTCCATCACGGGAAGAAAATTCAAACTCCCCTGTGGCTTATTTATTTGATCCATACGTAAAATATTGTTCCGACATGAAATTATTGTTCGCATTTGAGATTCAGGATGCTCAGAGCGGGGAAAGGAAGGGGAAGTAGTTCTTTCTTAACGCCCTTATTTCCTCCCGAAAGTAGAATGCTTTTAATTATTCCCTAGTTCTCACTCAGCGAAAAAACCTGACATTGTTCCTCCGAGCGAATACGAAGAACTGACAATTTTGGCGAAAAAAGTAGATGGACTATCAACTTTGTATTTTGAAGAGTGTCCTCCAGTCACTCACGTGTTGCCTTGAGGATGGGTGTAATTCTATGCTACTCCGCTCAAGGTGGTACCCATTTGACTTGAAGTACTTTGTACACAAAAGAAAGGGATTCCCTAATATAAGTTAAAGAATAGGATAACGAAAGTGATATTTTCCATTGGCTGATGTGTTCTAAAATGCCTTCAAGGGTGCCTTGGAAGATCATTGCCTCAAATCGCACAAATACTATTAAGATCTTTTCTTGTGTTACTTTCTTTTGACCGAGAGTAGTTTCTGATATGATTCAGGCTTTTTCCCAGAGTGTGGAAAACAAAATTTTTGACTTCCTAGGATTTTACCTCAAATAACTCTCTCTGAGCAAATGAACTGTACATACTGGTGTGATAAATAGTCCCTCTTCGCTAGGGAGAAATGTAAATGAAGTAGTTAAAACAGGCAAGTGTGAGAATTCAACAACGACATTAAACAAAAGAAACAAGTTTTAATTGTACTCAGACTTACTCATATCATTAAAACACCAACAGCGTAATGAATTGGAGAATGAATAAACACAGTTTCTGGGAACCCAAAATAACTGCAGAGATGAACCAGTTGAGTGCCCACTTCAGTGTAAGAAATACAGGAAACTGAAGAGACAACAAGCATGCCTTAGGTTTTCTACCTCCCAGACTGAAAAAAAGGCGATACCCGGTGGTGTATCCATTCGCTGATTTCCAATCACCGCACGCCAGCAGTAACTCTTCTTCGTTCTTTAAACACTTCCCTGGCTCCAAATGTAAAGTTCTATGGGGTCATTCATTTAAAAAAAACTTCTTTTCTCCAATTTTTTTTCGTCTTGTGATAAATTTCTCGTGCAGCAGTAGGGAATTTGCATGCATGCAAAAGTTAAGTCTGGGGATGGGTGGGTTGGGATGGGATGTCCCTGTGTAACTGATGCTTACCAAAGATTCTAATGAAAAATACTCGATACTTTATTTTAACAGAAAGTAGAAAACCTTCAATTAATCTGAAATAAGCTCGGAGAAAGTTAGTTTGTGGCCTATCTGAGTTACTATCTGAAAATAACTTACATTGGTGCTTCACTAACTGCCGTTCTTTTACCAGTGTCATCATAAAAACACATCGTTACATGCAGTTGTTTGCTACATAAATACTGCTTATAATTTTGCTGGTAAAAGCGAACCCAAATTGTATTTCATCCCCTTTAAACATTTGTCAGAGTTTCGTTGCGATCTCCGCGTTTCTGAAAAGACATGGAGAGAAGAGAGAAGGATCTTATTTCATAGGCTCTCACGATTGCATAACTACGCGAGCTTTTTGATTGCATGCTTCTCATCTGCACTTTGCCCTCTGCGTGTTAAGTGCGTGACAAGATACAGGCTCTTTACAAGAAATAGTCACATGATGGGGCAAAGTGTAAGGTACCTAAAAGAAAATTTGATTGGTAGAAAAAGTTAAAGTAGGTGAGGACTGCGTGGAAAATTGACAAACAGTATCCATGTTAACATTTTAATCCATGGTAACATTTTAAGTGGGGTAGGATTATTTGGTTAAGTTTTCAGTTTTATACTGAAGAAGTCATGTAAAAGGTAACGCCAATAAAAATAGAGACGAGAGAATAAGTACCTGGAATGGGAAAAACCTGTCTAGATGAAAGAAGTAAATCATGCAACTTCCAATTGAAAGAAACGGTATTCAATATCGCAGTCGATGCAGAAAGTACTATGGTAACTTGATTAGTGCCAGCAACATATGTTCAATGACGAATCTTTCTGGTGCAAGAAACATACCCAATGCAGTCAGATTGGTGCGAGCAACATACCCAGCACAATCTGATTGGTGCGAGCGTTAAACCTGACGCAATCTGATTGGTGCGGGAAATATGCTTAGCACAATCTGGTGCAAGTAATATACCCGGGGCAATCTCTTTGGTTCACGCAACATACCTAGCACAATCTCATTGGTGTGAGCAACATACCCGGCGCAATCTGTTTGGTGCCAGTAACATACCTTAGCAAATCTGCCAAGTGCAAGCATCATACCTGACACAATCTGATTGGTGCGAACAGCATACTCTAGCAAAACTCATTACTGCAAGGGATGCATTCTGTGTAATCAGATAAGGGCGTGCAACATACTCCACTAAATCCGATTGGTGTGAGAAACACAGCTTTGGACGACGTAGTATATTTAATAATTATCATCATTTTAAATAACTCATAAAGGGAAGTAAACGAGCTCGGAAAAGAGGAAATAACGATTTACCTTGCCGGTCAGCTCTAGTTAAGGTAAAATCTGCTGTTTTGATAATTTGAGCACAACTAATGATTGGCAACTATATCTTCAGTGAGGATGGGTAATGCTTTACAAGGGAATCGCCAAAATAAAACCTTAAGAGTTTGCTTAGTCAGTTCCAGTACATGATACTACTCTTTTTTCACCATTATGAAAATTGTATCGTTCAGTGTGAAAGATGCAGATTGTAACGTGTCGGCACGAATGGGGCCAAGCACGCAATGGCAACTTTGGTTATCTTCAGTAAGAGGCCTCATTATGGGCAAATCTACCCTGCCAAAGTCAGTTACGCGCCATATATCTTTCTCCTTATCCTCGCACGGGTTTTGATTGATCAACGTTACTCGCAACTTTTCCTTGAATGGCCAGGATAATAGCGGATCAAATTCTCCTGGAATAACACAAATATAGATAGAAAAGTATGTTGTACTAGACAAAAAATCGTCTGGGAACCACCTCATCCTATAGGCATTAGAGAAAATTTGGATTCTCAGTCTGTACCCGTTTGAAGAAAGATAAAATGTACTTGTTAAAATGTTTTCCTTTCCACTCAATGCTTTCTCATAAGCAGCCTGGAAATTTGAAATTTTCCACACAAATGGAGGACTATTCAGGAGCTTAATATGTTGATCTTGAACTTTGACCTGAGCAGTCAGTCGTTCAATCTGCTGTGACAAATCTTTATCTTTGGCCATCAGTTGTTCAATCTGCTGTGACTGATCCTTAACCTGACGCTGAGTGGTCTCAAGGCTGCGAAGGGCCAAGTTCAAGTGTTGTTCAATGTGTGTCTCCAAATGAGCTTTGGTGTTTGATCTTGGGAACTGTGTGAATGAGAAGAAATGCGGCATTAAGGACAACAGTTGTAACACCTCGTATTAAACTCAGAACTTTACGGAGAGCTGGCATAATATCAATTGCACAACTGATCCCTGCATTTCTAGTTATTCGTCTGACTAGCTATTCAATTGCCTTCCCAAATCTCTAGTGAAAACCAATCAAATTGGCCATACAGTTCCCTTCAAAAGCTGTGCCTGCATCATAATTTTTCTTACCTTCATAACAAAGCGAAAGTTTAGGTGAATTTTCTCCACCTTAAAAGTTTTCCTCTAACTACCTAATAAATTCCGTGAAAGGCGACACATTTTACGATAAGCAACGAAACTTTAAACAGCCAAATCACCTGTGCCAAGTGTCGTAAGGGTCTCTATATTAACGTAATTGTTTTAAGAAAGCCTATACCTTAACGTCGCATCCCAATTTCTTGAATTCGCAATAAACCTCAGTTGCAGGACAATCCTCGCCAATATGAAATTCCAGCTATAAACAAAGGCATAAATATAAATAAGAGACTGATTACGGTGTTCCTATGTAATGCCAAAGATAACCAGCCGGCCTCTTTTTAATCTCGCATTAACACAGACCCAACGCCTATTTTAGCAAAAGAATATCTAACGGTTTTTCAAGCAGATTCTCTATGCCATATGAAGCTTATTGTCAAAGCCACTTGTCGCTTACTATGACTCTGTTCAAGTTGCTGAGTTACGTAAGAGATGACGTGATCTCTCAAAAATTACTTGACGATTGTGCAAAATCCTAGTAAACGTTTGTGTCAAGTAAATGAAAGTGTCCTTTTCCAAAACTTGATGAGTGGTTTCTGTTAAAACAGACCTTTCCTCGTGGAATCTCTTCCAAGCCACACTTGTTGGTACAATGAACAGGGAACTTTTGGCAGATATCGAAATGTTTCTGTAAAACACCAGATAAAATGTTTGAATGTACCCTTACTTTTCAACGATTGCCCAGAAGGCTCAAACACAAACAAAAAAGAAAATGCAACTAAAAGAGAAGGCGCAAATAAAAAAACGCAAATAATAGGAGAAACATGCAGGGGCTGGGATCTAGTATTTTAGCGCCAATTTTCCAGTCATTCGGTCTCTCCGACTACCCGCCATGTCTGTAGCGAGTGCGGAGAAAAGGCAGTTGGTAATAATGTAAACTTCATCTCAAAATGTGGATCCATTCTTGCCAAGCCCCCATCACCTCAGACTATTACTAACTAGAACCCAGCGTCTGCATGTTTCTCTTAATATTATTTGCGGTTTCTACTTTTACTTGGCTTTTTTTTGTTTTTCGTTGCGTTTCACCTTTGCTGGTTGTATTTTCTTCTTATTAGTTGAGTTTTATTTTTGGTAGTTGCCTTTTCTTTTTAGTTCGTGTTTGAGCCTTTTGGGCCACCGTACATTTCTAACACTGAAAATAATAAAAAAATGACTTTAGAACACTACTGCATATTTTACTGTGTAAGCTAATCACTCAGTACAGGTACAAAGAAACGGTTACATTTATAAGAAGTCATGGAAATAATTTCGAGAGAATTTTTCAAGGACAGAAAAAAATAGCCAACCCATGGAGTAAACTTCCCTTTCATTCAAATGATGCATGATATCTGCATACCTTTTGTTGATTAAAGACAATTAATTTTTGACAATATCCACAATATATTATCCTCCAAGAACATTCAGATGCCATGTGGTTCCCCATGTCCTGCCTAGTGACTTTCTCTGTACATCTTGAGTTTGGACACTGTACCACTTTTAACAGGCAGTTTGATTGATGTTCCTGCAGGTTGTTGGAACTCATATATTACAAGTCAAAGTCATGAAATGGGTAGAAAAGTGAAAAAAGCAAGTAACTGATGAGGTTTCTAGATGAACAAATTATTGAGGCAATTTGAATACTCGGAACGGTAACTTTTTTTCTTGGGTTCACTACACGAAAGGGGGCCATGAAAAGCTTGTATAACAAACACAGGTTGCCTAGGAATTAAAATAGTCGGCGAGCTCCCCTTTCTATTTTCAAAACTAAGATCTATCAGCGTTCTCTGATAGGAGAGATTTTTAGTGAAAGACATTACAATGTTAATACAATGCATACAACACATGAAATGGTGACTCGGCCATCCAACATATCAGTTTGATTGCCTCCGATTTTGTTTCACCGAGTCAATCGTTTGGCGGGAAAAGAGTTAGCAAGAGTGGGAAATAATCAGATTGTCTAATAACGTAATTAAGAATAATGGAACACAGTTCAAAAGTGTTCAGTTTGCCATTCGCGTTTTACCTCAACTTCACGTAACTCTCCTGTCCATAGACATCCAGAGTGAAAACATTTCACCGTCAGATCTAGGATTTTGCGACGACAAGCGGTATCAGGAAATATCTGCCGCAAAGAGAAATGCTTGAAACATTACTTCATTCAAAAAACATAGGCATGCTATGCACGCAAGAGTTATTTTTGGGGGGTGGGTGGATTACTTGAAACATTATAAATGACATCTACATTCTTACAAAAGGAAAGAAGAGTATTAACGCGGAAAAGAACGAAAACGTCGAATTAACTCACAAATAGGGATTTTGTAGTGGATTGTGTGTTGTGCGAATAATTGTAACCAAAAATAAACTGTATTGGTGCCACGGATAGTACAAAATGCTGAATGCAGACTGTAGACCGGATACAAAATGTAGACTAGGTACAAAATGTAGACTGCAGACTGCAGAGTGGATACAAAATGAAGACTGAGAATCTAAAGATTTTTTTCGTCTGGTTTGTGATAACATGTCATGTTACAACTTAACGAGCGTTACGCAATCAAATTCAAATAAAAAATGTTTGGTGCAATTCATCAACACCTCAAGCAAAATTTGATTCAAAATTTTTCCCCTCACTCTCGTCCTGAAGGAGCAATAACCATGATCGTGCTACAGTGCACAGAACTCCATTTTCTTTCGAACAACTATCCACTACTTTCACAACACGATTGACACGTTTACTATAGATAATCTGATATTTTTCATCTGTCCAGTAGTATCGCATTACTCGTAAAACGCGGTAAAATACACGTTAAAAACACAGAAAAACCAACATTTCTCATTCTAAAAGATGATTCCATTTTACGAATCGCTCTCTCCGAATCCCCCATTACTTCGCTGAAATTTAAACACCTCTCAAACCAAAGAACAAAAACGACGCTCTGATTAGTGCGAGATACATACCCTACTGCGCCGATCTGATTGGTGGGAGTAACATACCACTCTCCGTGCGGTAACATGGATGTTTTTTTTTTTAATTAAAAAAATTAACTCAAAAATATAAGCATTGTGTAAGTAGATTAAGTATACAAAGCCTGCCTGAACATATATGGCTCATAAAAATCACAGCGACGTATTTCAGCAAGCTTTTAAATCCTCTAATGGCTTTCTTTTCGTTGCCTTTCTCTAAGCATTGGAATTAATGCTAAGAGTCAATAGTTTTTTCTGCTTTGGCGATTACTCCAGAATTTTAGCAGACAGGTTGTCGCTAACATTGTCATTTGCCCGTAAAAACGAAGGATCGAAAAATTCATTGCTATATGCTTCTATACAACCAGAGGTTCCTTCCATGCTCTTCACCTTTCATGAAAGACTTTAAATCACTTTATAACATGCGTTCTATGTCGACCATTTTGTTACAAACTCAACAAAGACCCTTATATTTGTCACCTGCAAGGCAAGTTCTTTCACGCAGGTTTCCATCGCTAAACAACTTGCGAATGAATTCAAATTCGCTCATCTCTCCATCAAACAGTAAACGAAGGGAAATTCAACACAATTCTACAAGTCTACACATAATTGGCCACGTTGACCCTTTGAACAAAACCGCAAGGCGGAAAATCCCACATCGCTGGCCTGGTACATGAAATTGAAGCAAAGCTCCAAACTGTGCTTCGTGACGCGTTTTAAAAACCGACATTTTCGCAGGCTATTTTTAGGTGGTAAACAAATATTCCTCAGCAAAATCATTTAATTATATCAGGCAGGAAGTCCTAAATTTCAAGGTCTTTTCAAGAGGTAGAAGTTAGAAATTGAGCAATTTTCATTGAGCTCAACCAAAACAATCCAAAACCCCCTTTCAAGTAGAAACCATGTCAGCTGACTAACCTGCTCGCGTGACAATGGCTGCCTGTCTGCCGGACAAAATGGCGAAGGAAGTCTGACGAAAAAAAACGCAGAGGAAACCATGAAAAGATTCAACTAAAGAAATAACAGTATCAAAACTAGGTGAGTCCTATGATGAACGGTAGTATAGGCTGAATTGTGATGAATGCGCGCTAGAAGAAAGCCTTACTAAAAACGTTGAACCCAATAAATTTAAAGTTAAAAATTGAGTCTTCTCACTTAAATTACATGGACATCTCCGTTAGAGCACAAACTTAGGTCGTAATTATTTGCCAACTAATAAGCGTATCAACTTATTATTCTGTCAATCAAACTTCGGTCAAATCTTTAGCCAAAGTTACCGCTTAATTCTTCGTGCCACAGTAATAACATTGTTCAGCCATTACCTAAAAAGCGATTCTTTACAAATGTTACAAAGCTTGTGCCCACATTGTACGATCTGTACTGGATCCTTCATTGGTAAGTGACACACAAGACATTCGTAGTCATGCGGAACTCTGCCTGTAAATTCGTAATCATATCCGCCAAGTTGAGGAACATTCTGTTCCGCCGCCATGTTTAGTTACACTATTGATTTGGAATAGGAATGAAGTGTAAAGTTTGCGTGACATCAAGAAAAAAAACAAAACGTCACGAATCGAGCACTTTTATGTGTGGGGCATACGTTGTGTAAGCAGATTACTACGTCCGTATTGAAAAATATGGATGAATGATCATGACTACTACTGTGAAGGCAGGTTTTACTCGAGACTAGAGTCGATGCTGCTTCGTCCTCTAAAAGGTTGATTAAACGGGAAATGAAATTAAGTAAACAGTGATAAAAAACGAGAACAAGTTCTTCAGGTAGCATATGAAATGATATATTTGAAAGAAAATAGAACTTGCTTGCGAATACATTGAAGAAAGGCTTGTAGTAAATCTGGGGTTTTAATTAAAGGAGCTTCCTCTTTCCAAGGGCCTGTTTACATGGAGGTGGGAAAACCCCTCGCCACATGATCTCTTATTTGATCGCGTTTACATTACAGTCGGGGTGACCCGCCTGTAGTCGGGTTTGCAATTTGCGATGTTAACCTCTCCAGGTGGGGTAACCCACTTAGCCGAACACAACGGTCAAATGATACAAATGCGCACCATGATGGAAAATTTGCTGATGTAAATGTGGAGAATCAAATTTAGACGAAGTTTTTCGCAGTTTCTAAGGAAAGTTCGAAGTTTCTAAGGCTGAGACTTACACACATCGTTGTTCTGAACTTTACCCACTACGTGTTAGTTTACACCCTCGTCCTTTTTATTTACACTTTGCACGGTGGCGTGATGAAATCTTCCATAAATTTGGCCGTGCTTGCTGTAGTTATTGTTTGTTTTGTTCATGGTGGAGTTGCCGGTAAACACCGAGGGAAATGTGTGGAAAAAGGAAGAGGCACAGCCACACAAGATATTTGTGAGTATCACAGGTCTATGTTTATAGCGGACAGTAAACTGGGCAGCATGCTGCACAGTCCGCAGCGACTAATTCAATACATTTTCAGAACATTTAACGTTTTATACACACCAGCTGTAAGTTTTTCTTGATGTTCATTTGTTAAGAAAGGAATTTCAGGCGTGTTATGTTCAAATGTCGAGGACGACGAGCGAATATATACGTATTTTTTAAATAATAAAAATTAATTTAGTGTCACCGGTCGATCGATTGAAGAAAAGGAAAATAATAAAATAAATTGATTGAAGCTGTGAAGATAATATCGTGGAGCATAGATTTCGCAAACCGACGGTAAAAGTCTTGTATGGGTTAAACTTTATCTTCCACTTAAGACTTCAATCTGACAAAATCAACAAGGATAATAGAGTCGAAATCCCAGAAGCATGGATGCGGGCCACCAAAAAACACAACAACATTCGCTCTGACAAAGGGCTAACGCTCAGAACGTCAGCCTTAGCTTAAAACTCTTTACAATGGCCAATTTACGCTGATAATACTAAATTACCCTGTTATACTCTCCCACCGACCCAGCGCCACAGTTTCTTTAGAAACTTACCCCCCTTACTACACCAGGAGAACCGCGCGACGACGTACCGCTGAGAGAACATTTAATCGAACTGAAGCCAATCACATCTGTATTTGAATACCAGCCAATCATGACTGGTTGCATTAATTCATAGGGTAACGCGTATCCGGTCGATCTTATCGTCTGAAGATTACCGTAATTTTTTTTAATTCGGCTTTATTATTTAACTGTTCTGAATTATTTCACTCAATTGTATTACATCGTTTATAACCAGCTATTTGTCCTCGGATCTCGCACAAAGTTTTTAAGTGTCTTCTGTTGTCCTTTAGTTTTTTTCTCGTTTGTCAATTTATTTTCTTTTAAAGGAAAAGCTATTTCCATCGATAAGAATCTCATCATTATTAAAAAGAAATTGATCATTGTTTCACTGAGCCCAGTCCTCACCCTTCCCCCTCCTCCTCCATAGATCTCTGCTCAATATGTGCACTAGTACAAATTTTCTATTGTATCTTGTGCATTAGTCAAAACTCTTTCATTGGCTGAGCATAACTGTGCACCAGTCAAAGTCTCTTCTCATTGGCTGCTGCGATTACCGTGCTCTGGTCGTGAACTACTTAATCTGAGTGACGTGTCATGGCGTCGCTACTTTAAAGGACTAGCCGGACTAAATACAGGAATGGCTTCGACCTGTAATTGGATGATGAAAATAGTAAAAGTTAATAAGTTATATCTTAACTCCTTGCTCGAGAGTATTGTTTACCCGTATGTCTCGAAGCGGAACAAGGAAATATCAATGCGAGTGAAAACACCGATGTGTCAAACAAGAAATGGCTACTTACATAACGAAGGGAAGGAAGCCTTTCTTGATTAGCGAGGTCGTTCAGCGATATTCCGGCGATGACATAGTTATCTCCGGACTAGCACCGCTGACTAAACTCATTTAGTATTTACTATTTATATCTTCCAATTACAAGTCGGAGCCATTCCTGTATTTAGTCGCTAGTCTTTCAAGGGAGCGTCAGCCTGTTTGTCGAAAGGAAGATTGTTCACCATTTGATATCGGTACCGTGTACAGAGTCATCGCCTCGTTTACCGATGCTGAAAAGTTTCGGTCTATTGAAAGCGTCTGAAAGCCAGATCGATTGTTCGAGTTCCCCGCGTCAAAAGAAACCTCTGGAAAGCAGCGAAAGTTTCGACAGGAATGGCTCGCGAAATACCCTTGGCCGAAAAGTTGTTTATTCCAAGTACTTGGATGGCGCGTTATGTTTGCCTTGTGTCTGTTTCGGAATGAAGTGTGGCAAAAATGGTGCCAAACTGGACAAGCTGTTTCGATCGCGTTTTGGACGACGGCGCGTGGAAGGTTCGACAGCCATGCAAGCGTAAAGTCAGAAATTCATATATTTTCTGTTATGGTAATGCAGAATTTCTTGGCTGCAATGAGAAGGCAAACCGCTGGCACCCCCATTGATCAGCAGTTAAATCGATGAAAATCGGGAGAAAATTAAATCGATTGTGAAAACTGTAATTTTTTTGTGGTCAAAACGACATTCCGTTGAGATGAAAACGAGATGACAACCCTGCATGATAACAACAATCTCCAAGGAATTTTTTCAAGCCCCTTTTGAGTTTCGTATCGACAGTGATGATGTAAAACTTATGGAACATCTCGAGAATGCGCCAAGAAATGCCACTTACCGCACCAAAACGATACAGAACGAGATTATCGAGACCGGTGGAGAATTACATTTCTTCAAAGATCATCGCGGAAGTTAAACAAACCAGAATGTTTTCTGTTATGGCTGATGGGGCAGCGGACATTTCCAACAAAGAAAACCTGTCTCTTGTCCTCCGCTATGTCGACTCTTCAAAGAATATTCGAGAGGAGTTTGTTGGTTACCGCCTCAGTTTGTGGAGACGAAACAACCGGTAACGCAATCAGGGTGTTAATAATTAATTTAGTTCGTGACCTTGGCTTGACCATGGATAATTGTAGAGGTCAATCTTATGATGGTGCTGGAAACATGGCTGGTAGGTACGTTGGTGCATCAACATTAATCCAACATCAGTTTCCCAAAGCGATATATGTTCATTGCATGAATCACCGTCTCAATCTGTGCGTGGCTGATACTTGCTCGCTGGCGATGGTTCAGGATATGATGGGTACTGTTAGAAAACTTTCTGAATTTTTTAGAAACTCGCCTAAGCGCCAGAATCACCTTGTTGTTAAGATTAAGGAGCTACTAGCCGACAGCAATCACAGAATTTTAATTGATTTTTGTCGCACTCGGTGAGCTGCAAAGAGAAGAAATGGACATTCTTAAGGCTGAGAAGCAAATTGCCACTCTACCGAATGCCCTTAGAGACATGCAGACAAACATTAAGAGTCATCATCATTGGCTGTTTGAAGAGGCAGTACAACTTTCACAGAAATTTGGTATTCAAC